CAGTAGCACGAACAAACGGACGGGATGCGAGCCCGCCGTGCGGCCAGCTGCATCACAAATGGCCGTCTGCCTGTCCGGCAGCCACATGCAAGGCAACAGACGGAACAAGAGAGGAGAAGCAGGGCTTCCCAAAATCCAGCTCCAGTGCCTCTCCCACCCGGAGAGGTGTGCGATGTAACAATGCCTTGTGAATGAATCCGGGAGGGGTTGTAGGCGTAGGTGTGTTCGCTGAAGTAAAACTTGAAATCGCTAAAGTTGGTTAAAACAACTCTCACTTCACGTTTCAACACTTTTTCTTCGTCCCTCTCGTGAGCTCCCACCCAGTTCTCTTGTCCTCTTATTTTCTTTTCTCTTATTTTTCCTTTGTAGCCACTCGGTCTAGCTTGTGATCATGTGCACCACGCAAACACACTTGTTGAGAGCTAGAGAGTCAAGCTCTGGCTCATATCGGGGCTGGCCTGACTCAATACATCAGAGTGTTGCTCTGAATGGTGTGTTGTCCAGATGGTCGTTGAGTTTCACTCGATAAAGTCTTTTGGGTATAATTAACGAAGCAGTTGTTTGTGTGTTTGTACCAAAAAAAATTAGCTCGTCTCTGCGTCTCTCAGAGAGAGGAAAGGTAAGCCTTCTCTTCTTCACCTCCTTCCTTGTTCCTCCTCCTTTCCTCTCACCTCGTATCTACTCCCTTGCCGAGTCAGCATACCCACCGCTGTGCTTTCATAGTCTTGGTCAATAGCTGCTCTCTTTGCTGTTTGAACATGAACCGACAACAACTAGTTCTTTCCATGATAGTCTGATTACTAAAAAAGGCTAGTGGTGGACGCAGTGTTTTCCAACCTGCTGTACATTCAAAATGCTGTGTTTGTGCAAAAATGGAGTGATGGTCAAAACCTCGGATGGAAGCTTTATCCCCCTGCCCAGCTTCCATTGCACCTCTGAACGAACCCACTTGGCTTGTAATAATTTTGGGGAGGACTGCTCACGGAATCCATCCCGCGTCTGATACTCAATAAATAAGACAAATCACACACACACACAGCCGTACACACACACACACTACACACCACAAGCACGAAACAACACTACTACATCGAATCGGAATGAGACCACAGTAATCCTGCCACTCCGACTACCTACTGACCCTCCAAGGGACCTGTTCCTTACCCATGCCCTGGGAAAAAAGTAGGGTATTACTGAGGGTAAATAACTGGGAAACTGAATAGCAAGTCAGGAACCAGCTCCCACTGGCCAAGATCCCCTCTCCCCCAAAACCTCAAACATCGCCGAATGTAAACTAGTTGTTTCCATCGTCAGATTAAGCTACATACTTATTGCCAGTACTCCCTTCCCTCTCATTCATCTGCTCACCCTACATTCAGAACAACGCCAGCTCTCGACCATGCCAGCTTCATTCATCACCGCGCCCAGAATCACTGAGGGTTGGTAGCTGGCTCCCTCTGTTCTTACCCGACACAATTGGTCAAGAAGTGTAAAGTAGGCCATCGCTAAGCTGCTCACGACACCACACTCCCTAGCATTCACTATTCCTTCTCCAGTCCCACCCCTCAAATCGGCCCTCACAGACCTAACTTCCTTATCGCCTGTCCTCGAGCGCTCAGCGCTGCCCAACCACATGTTTTGAACCGAACCACGCCTTGGTCTAATGTAAGCCACCAGTGCTCGTGTTTATCCATTGTAAACTTCACATAGGCCAGTGTCACTCATGCTCGTGAACGAACCATGAGAGATGAAATATGGAATTTCAGTTGCTTCTCCTGGACTGCTTTGTGGCCTCTGGAGTCTATCAGAGATATCGTTGAGACGAAGTGCACTCGTGTTAGTGTGTATTCAGGGCATGGGTTTGTGCTCAAAAATGAAGATTACTCTCTCACCTGGTGGCTCTTG